GTCTTTTGGGGACGGTGTGGGTGAACGGATGATCTCTGCATGTGTGGTTCCCACCGTAAAGCATGGAGGAGGAGGTGTTATGGTGTGGGGGTGCTTTGCTGGTGACACGGTCTGTGATTTATTTAGAATTCAAGGCATACTTAACAAGCATGGCTATCACAGCATTCTGCAGTGATACGCCATCCCATCTGGTTTGCACTTAGTGGGACTATCATTTGTTTTTCAACAGGACAATGACCCAACACACCTCCAGGCTTTGTAAGGGCTATTTGACCAAGAAGCAGAGTGATGGAGTGCTGCATCAGATGACCTGGCCTCCATAATCCCCCAACCTCAATCCAATTGAGATGGTTTGGGATGAGTCGAACGGCAGAGTGAATGAAAAGCAGCAAACAAGTTTTCAGCATATGTGGGAACTCCTTCAAGAATGTTGGAAAAGCATTCCAGGTGAAGCTGGTTGAGAGAATGCCAAGAGTGTGCAAAGCTGTCATCAAGGCAAAGGGTGACTACTTTGAAGAATCTCAAATATAAAATATATTATGATTTGTTTAACACTTTTTTGGTTAATACATGATTCCTTATGTGTTATGTCATAGTTTTGATGTCTTCACTATTATTCTACAATGCAGAAAATAGTAAAAATAAAGAAAAAAAAACCTTGAATGAGTAGGTGTGTCCAAACTTTTGACTGGTACTGTATATATTTCTCTCTCTTTCTCTTTCTCTTTGTCTTTCTCTTTCTCTCTTGCTCTCTTTCTCTCTCTTTCTAAAAAGGTCACTATCTTATAGCTACAATAAACAGAAATAAACTGGTATTTTAGATGCTAAACATGAAAGATTGTTAAGGTCTTTACAAGCAGCTATGTAGATGCCTGCAAAATAATTTATCCTGTCCATTCAAATGTGCCCAATTCAAGTTCAACCCAGTCATTCTCTGGTCGGTGCGTGACAGTTTCCCCTCTCTCAAACGGGTTTAAATCATTTCCACATCATATTCTAAAGGGGTGGAAGATTTTCTTCCCGTGGGCCAGGTCCAAGTCAAATACTCATGAACTCATTGCAAAGGAAAAGTCTTACAACAAACAGCGAGATGTTGCAAAGCTAAACTCAAGGGAAATATGGTAAACAGGACACACCTCCTCCCAGTGAAAACGGCACAGATGAAGAAAGGTAAAATAGCAAATTGGCACATAGCGAAGCAGGCATATTTTAATGTAAGTGATTTCTCGGATTATACTTGTCACGTGGCCTTATTTCCTCAGGTTGAACGCGGTGTCATAGCCTGGAGGCCGCTCAACTGTTTGATGCCCTTAGCCACACACACCCTTAATTTCAACAGTGCATCCTTTTCAAGTGAGACGTGAAAATGGCTCATACATTGGCGTGCCTGCCAACTATATTTCATGGGGACCTGACCTGAGAAAAAAGGAAAAAGGAAGAAAACAAGGTTGGCCAAGCATAATCATCATATATGTATTTTCAACTGGACTAAGGCTGTCCGAGGGACATCAAACATCGTGTTGGGATTTTATTGGTCCCTAACAGCGATTTTATAAATGTATTCTTTAGGGGGTAGATCAGCTTTAATGTTGCAGATAGATTGTAACTTCCATCAATGTAATTACATTTACATACATTTTAGTCATTTAGCAGACGCTCTTATCCAGAGCGACTTACAGTTAGTGAATACATATTATTTTTATTTTTTTTATACTGGCCCCCCGTGGGATTGTCTGCATCACTTCCAATCTGGTGGGTCGGTTCTTGGCAGCTTTTGTTTGACTGCTGTGGTTTATAGTGTGGAGGAGGGTCCGGCCTCGACAGCTGTTGTGCTCTGCTTAATTATTATTATTATATATTTTTTTAACTAGGCAAGTCAGTTAAGAACAAATTCTTATTTACAATGACGGCCTACACCGGCCAAACCCGGACGACGCTGGGCCAATCCTGCGCCGCCCTATGGGACTCCCAATCACGGCCGGTTGTGGAATCGAACCAGGGGGTCTGTAGTGACACCTCAAGCACTGAGATGCAGTGCCTTAGACCGCTGCGCCACTCGGGAGCCCAATTAGTAAGATATGACCCATGACCTGGGACAGGATATGATGTGTAACAACTTTTAGAGCTTTTGTAAACACCTTGATTTGTTTGTCCCTTCGATCATTGTACCTCCACCATTTGCTAAAAAGAAAAACATGTTGAACCCCAATCAGTCAAAAATAAATCTCTCTCTTCTCATTATTAGTACAACATGCAAATGTTTGTGCCTTGGTGACACGGCAGTTTGTAATCATATGAAGGCCTACTTTGCCATTGTGGTTTTTGCAAGCTATCCGCCATTGGCTTGGTTTGGCAGGCACTTTATCATGGCTGATGGGTATCTAGATAATTTGTTTTAGAAATACTTTAAAGAGCTGTGGCCTGTGGGGATTAGGTCTGGCTGCGACAATAACACGTTTCAGGAATTGATACATGACCTGTGTGCTCAGAAGCAACAGGACAGAACAGGATGCTACTGTATCAGACAGAACTCACCTTTGAAATTATTTAATAAAAATAGGCAATTGACATCTGGCCCACAAATCGTGTCCAGACCAGTACAAGTGTTACATTTCAATATATACCACAGATAATTTAGTCATTCAGTGGAAGAGGAAAGGTAAAGGCCGAACGCGAAGAGATAGAGAGAGAGAGTGAGAGAGAGGAAGAGAGAGAGAGAGAGAGAAGAGAGAGAGAGAGAGCGAGAGAGAGAGAGAGAGAGAGCGAGAGGAGAGAGAGAGAGAGAGAGAGAGCGGAGGAGCGAGAGAGGGAGAGAGAGAGAGAGAGAGGAGAGCGGCCTCTATCGATCTAGCTCTCTCGTCTCTCTATCTCGATCTATAGTACTATCTTATCTCTCTCGCATCGATCTCTCATCTCTATATCGCCTCTCTCTCCTCTCCTCTCTCTCACTCTCTCTCCATCTCTCTCTCACTCTCTCTCTTTCTCTCTCCTCAGTACCTTCCATCTCTCTGAGTCCCTGCCTCTTCCTTCAGCTGTTCCATACTCTGGTCCACTGGGATTGATACAATATTTTCCAACCTCAATTAGCAGACTAATTCCAACTGTTTTTACACCTGAGAGGTTGGGAGCAGGGGCTGGAAAAACTGAGTGAGGCGAGGGCGTAGCAGGGCTGTCGGGGCAACGTAGCCGTGTTGACAGACCGCAACACAGAGAACAAGGAGGTTTCTCGCACTGGACAGCATTCAGGGCCCTGCTGAGCTGTGCTTCCCCACTCACACCAGCAACATTAAAACATGTGGGAAGGAGAAAGGGGTCTGCTACGGGTGAGAGGTGTGAATGTGTGTGTGTGAATGTGTGTGTGTGTGTGTGTGTGTGTGTCTGTTTGTGTGTGTGCGTGTGCGTGTGCTCATGTGTGATGTGCTCATGTGTGATGTGCTCATGTGTGATGTGTTCATAGAATTTGGTTACATTACATCTATGTTTGGATAATAAAGTAATTGCTGTTTCTTTATGTTTTATTAGACACTTGAGACATTTTTGTAAACTCAAGACAAAAATCTACTGTGCCTGCCAAGCCACTTAAAGATATGTACTCTCTTTTCACCGAGACAGTCGTACTGCGGCTGCAGTCTTGTATCTGTGTCAATGGAAACTCATTAAAAATGCAGAGCTTCCGCCCAGTCATCCTTCTCCAATCTATAGCATAGTGACCGTATCAATATCAAGGAATTCTCTAGGTGCAATGACCTGTGGTAACGTAGAACCCAAACTGGACCTGAGAATAGACCAGGCCAGATCGTCTCATTGTGAGGTATGACCACATCACGACCATAAGGTCCATTTCACTAATTTCAAGGCCGAATGACCACTGGTTTGGCAGGGTGCAGCTTTAGGGGTGCAGGCAGGTACACACCCTCACTGTGCTGTAGTGTTCATAGAGAACCGTTCTTTCCAGGGCAGGAAATGAGAGGATGGTGGTTAAAGAGTATGAGAGCATTGCATTTGGGGGCTGCACATTTTCATGGGGAACCACTCTGTACAACTGACTAAGCACTTCTGACAAGACCATGGAAAGCCACACATCTCCCAATCCAGATGCATCACTTTTGCTGCTTTCCTGCATGAAACAGTTTCATGTAGCTGCAGTCCTCTTAATAACTTCCATTGCGAAGCCAATTCCTTATTTCCACTCCTGCTCCAATCTGAATTTAAAGTGTCAAACATAAGCATGGCCTGAGAGAGTAACATTTTATGATTATGTCTGACATCTAAACCACCTACATGAAAACAAACACCAGCACAATTTAGAATTGTGATAATTCAAGTCAATGTGAATTTATGTTGTGTGTGTGTGAGGTATAAAACTGTCTGCCAGATGAGTAGTCTAGTAGCCCCGGCAGGTTCACAAATGTCAGCCGACTGTTATAAGGCTGTACACAGTGGCAGACTGACTGGGCAGTCCCTGCTGTTACCTCGGTAGCATGGAAAAACCCTGACTCACCCACTTGCGTAAAAAGGCATTAACGACTAAATACATAAATATAACCGTCAAAGGCATAAACCTCTCAAGGCTGTCCAGTGGCCACTGGGAGGTCAGTTCATGACCAGAGACAACACGTCTGTCCTGGTCAACAGTCTGAAAGACACCATTGATGGAGATCATGGAGTGAGTGACACCTATGCCCAGTGCACTGCCCTCCTCTCAAGTGTCCCTATTACTACATTTACATTTACATTTACATTTACGTCATTTAGCAGACGCTCTTATCCAGAGCGACTTACAAATTGGTGCATTCACCTTATAGACTAACATCAGATACAGTGCAATCTAATCTGGGGAAATTTAACATACTGAGATGAGATAATAACAGCTGTTGAAAGATCTGATCTGTTCAAGGCATTTTTTTGAAGATCCTTGATTGATATGTATGTGTAAGAAGACTTTACACTTTGCATGGGTATGTAGAAATTCTCTGAGTATCTAGTGTAAATTATACAGCGCTGGCGACCCCAATGCACCTGCTGTATGTGTAAGTGAAGCCAGCTCTCTGGTCTGAAGTTTTCACACACACGTGATCTTTGTTAGCGGCTGATTCCGGTTCTGTACTTAACAGTTTATATCACAGAGGCTCCTAATTATCCTGACAATTCCCCTAACAAGCACTCAACAAAATCGGTGAGAAAACTTTGAGAAATAGAATATTGCTTCCCCTTGAACCAGAGGACTTTCAACACAGTTTCGACAAGTTAATCCCCTGTGATATTGAAGCTTTTTTCCCAAGCCCAGTTTGCATGACCAACTGACGCACAAAGTCTGCCTTGCTGTAAACACAGTGCCGGGTTTCCCATGAGGTGGTTTAATCCACACTGGGTATTCCCAGTTTACCTAGCAACGCCTCCCGCTCCAAACACAACATAAATAGAAGCGACAGGCAGATACAAACCAGTGAAACTCCTATAAACCACTATAAAAGTAGCAAGATGAGAGTTCACACCACCATAAAATATAGTACAGTGTCATGGGCATCCCACCCCTTCTCCGTCACATAGGAGAGATAGAAAGAGGAGATAGTGCCAGCTTACTCACTTTCAGCGTAGTTTTTCCGTCTGGTGCCGTCCACCTTGCCCGTTTTGTCGATACAGAGAAAGAACTTGTTGGCGGAATAGAGACGCCGTAGTCGGACGTCGCCCTCTAGGTGATTGTAACTGCGTGTGTGCCGCTCCAGTGTCCATGAGCAGTTAATGCCCCTCGCCAGTACTTGGAGGGGCTCATGCCCTACCCCAGGTGGGCAGCCCCCCAGAGCCGTGCCAGCCACCAGCAGCAGGGTGAGGCACACCAGGCGGAGGGAGGCAGCGCTGGGCAGGGGCGGAAGCCCGGTGTGGGCAGTGCCAATGGCAGCGAGGTCAGGACTGAGTCCGGCGACGGGTGGCTTCCATCTGCACATGGTGGGTCAGACTCCCAAGGTGCACCTTGCACAGGCAGTAAGCATGCTGGCTGGCTGGAGACCCAGGCTGTGTGGTCCCGTCGAGTGGTCTCTCTCTCTGAAGGTGGGAAGGGGTGATGATCAAGGAAGTAGCAGACCCTGTCACTGAGGACCAGTCAACAGAGCAGAGAGGAACCTGGGCTTCCAACCAGCCCTCTGTCACAGATGAGTTGGCCTCTTTACTTGTCTGTCTAATGATAAACTCCTCTTCTTTCTCTCTCAGCCTCTATTTACTCACTATGTCCCCAAAAACTATTTATTTTGTAATTCCATTGCCAAAAGTCATCTGTTATTTTCTGTTGTTTTCCTTGTTCTGTTCCTTTTGGCTTGTGTCCTTCTTTCCAGCTGCAGAGTCAGCCAGTGTCCTGTCCTGCGATGTGTGCACCTTGCGATGCTTCTCTCTCCAGCTGGACTGGAACACGGTGCTTGTCTGTACTTGTGGCTGAGAATGACTTGAGTGAGAGAGAGTGAGTGACTGTGTGTAAGTGTGTGTAGGAGTGCAATAGGGAGAGAGAGTCACAGACAGAATGTGTGTGTGTAGAGCGAGAGAGAGAAACAGAGAGAGAGACAGAGAGGGAGAGAGTGTGTGTGTATGTCTGTGTATATGTGAGTGAGAGAGGCAGAGTGAGAGGAAGGGAGAGTGAGAGAGACAGAGTATGTATGAGGAAGAGAGAAAGAGGCAACAGCTAGTGAGTGTGAGAGAGTAAGTGAGTGAGAGAGGCAGTCAGTGAGTGAGTGTCTGGTCTGTCTGCCTGTATGAAGCAGTGAAGCAGTAAATGAATGTCCCCACTCTCTCCTGTGCAGTCCGTCCCTTCTCCTGTGTGGAATAGGAGGCTTGGGCTTGTCCTGCATTTTATCCTGGGCAGGGCTTGCATCTGGGGAGTTGAAAGGAGAGGGGTGGGGCCACAATCATTGATAACTATTTGAAATAAACGAGAGAGGCTTTGCACCATCTCCCTTTTATCATTTCTTAATGTAGCCTTTTTCTCCTAATCGTGGTTCCTAGAAAGCCATTAGGGGTTCCTAGAAAGCCATTAGGGGTTCCTAGATAGCCATTAGCCAGCTACCTGTAGGTTTTATTGCTCCATGGAAAGTGTCAACTGGAAAGTGTTAAGTCAAACACCTTTGTTGTCCCAGCGCTTGAAGATGATGAGGAATTATCCTAGGTCAGCAGTGAGAAGGTAACTCCATTATTGTAAAGTGACATGGAAGGGGGCCTTTTGTGACACCTGTGACTGGACTGTTTGTAGACACATGGGACAGATTAAAGAGGGCTTTAGTTTTTGCCGTTTTGCATCAAGATGTCGGAAACAACGTTAGAGGAGTCTTTCTGATCCCTGTGTTAATATTTCTATGAGGTGGTTTCTGATGTTCACCTCTGATTTGTGAGACCAGGGTGGTAATGGTGAACACCTTTTTAACAACTTCACACTCTGTCTGTCTGTTGTCATAATCAGGCTGTAAATCAGGACTGAGTCATTGGGTTCAAAGAAATGAATATGTCACCTCAGGGCCGGCCCTAGCTTTTGGGGCCCCTAAGCTAGATTTGGTTGCGGGGTGCCCCCACCGCGCAGGCAAACAATTTTGGTGGCCCGCCTCTTAACGGCGGAGAGAAATATTTAAGTTTTAAAATTAATTTCCTGCAATTCTACACATTTTGCCATGGGTCGTAGAGAAAAAATGTATTCCGTTCTACACACATGGGGCAGAGAGAACATTTTGCAATGTTATAATACATTTCATGCAATTCTACTTCTTTTGCAATGGGACAGAGAGAGGAAAATTGCAGTTTTACAGCTTTTTCCTGTAATTCTACACATTTTGCCATGGGGTGGAAATAAAGTTTTACAGTGTTAAAGCTAATTTCCTGCAATTCTACACATTTTGCCATGACTTATGCCATGTTAATGATATCTGAGTGGCTAACAAAATCAATGGGGGCCCCCTTGAGGTCAGAGCCCCTGGGAACGTGCCCTGTGAGCCTGTCGGTATACAGCCATGATTAGATAGCTGGCTAGACTAACTTACCAATCTAAAAATAGTTAGTTGACATGGCTAATTGAGTGGCTGTTACTGACTGACATAACAAGAGAAAAACTGCTGATGCACAACCACATTTCGAACTTGCACCTTGTGTATTCTACTAGTCTAACTGTCAACAGTACGTTTTGAGTTCCAAAAAATATGTATATATACCTGTATATACACTGAGCGTACACAAAATTAGGAACACCTGCTCTTTCCATGACATAGACTGACCAGGTGAATCCAGGTGGAAGCTATGATCCCTCATTGATGTCACCTGTTAAATCCACTTCAATCAGTGTAGCTGAAGGGGAGGCCACGGCTGGGGGCCCTAAGCAACTGTTTATTCCTGGGGCCGGCCCTGCTGTTACCTAATGTATTCCATTCAAATTTGTCAAAACTGTCCATATACTGTCCTGTCCTCACTCCTTCAGTTTATTCCTGATGGTTTTTGAAAAGTGGCTCAAGTTTACTGTATGCTAATAATTAATAATGAAACGAGGACAAAACTGTAACTGGCTATGTGTTGACCTTTTTTTTTTACACCAAAGTAAAACCAAATGAAATATTCACTATCATCTGATTCCGCCAGCCGAGGGTGCTAGGAGCATCTGCTGTGAGAACAGCCGCAGCGCTCCACAGCACAAGTTTTAAAGTGAGTCTATCCAGTTAGTGCAGCACTTACTTCCTTTTAAAAGGGTCATGATTTCAATGATGTGTACCGCCCCAGGGCGACCACGGTGTCCAGGGGTGGAAGTGTGTTTGAGGGGTGCGTGCACAGAGAGGACAACAGTGACTTCCCAGAAGCTTGGCTGTCCCTTTACCCCCCCCTCTCCCCGTCTCTCTTCATAAAGTCCCCTGTAGCTCAGTTGGTAGAGCATGGTGCTTGCAACACCAGGGTTGTGGGTTCGTTTCCCATGGGGGGCCAGTATGAAAATGTATGCACTCACTAACTGTAAGTCGCTCTGGATAAGAGCATCTGCTAAATGACTAAAATGTAAATAAAAGACCAGTCAGACAGAGGCCAGCTGCCCTCTCTCTCCCCCCCCAGCCCTCAACCCCCTAACCCCTGGCAGCCATTCCTGTCTACCTGCTTGTTCTGGCCATTAGATACTGTGGAGTTCCTCGTCAAAACGTCTCTCTCTATTTATCTGCATGGGCCCCAGTAAAAATCTGTATTTCACCCCCAATTAAACCACTCTGCAGTGTCTCTTGACTTCCAGTAGGTTTATTCCTTCTTTCCTTCAAACTCTCTTTCTTTCCACCCTGTGGAATCCATTGTCGCTGCCTGCCTGTGCTGTTGCCAGACTGGAGGAGCCTGGGCTGGGAGAGCACAGCACACATTGGGGATGTGTTTTTTGTTAGCATTGTATGAAACTGTTTCCCCATCTTCAAAAATGTTTTAACAGTTATCAGGACAGATGAATGTTCGTAGACTTGCCTGTGTAATTGTTGTAGGGTGCTCCAGCTTTCTCTATCAGCACTGTAATGGAAAACAATATTCTTCAATGTCCTCTAAAGTGCTAGAAGACCTTCTATCACAGCTGGCTTTGCTTATGGCTGTTCAATTATGTGTGAATCTAAATACAAATATGCTAATCTAATTGTAATCAGTGAAGCTTATACATCTACAGTTGAAGTCGGAAGTTTACATACAACCTTAGCCAAATACATTTAAACTCAGTTTTTCACAAATCCTGATATTTAATCCTAGTAAAAATGTCCTGTCTTAGGTCAGTTAGGATCACCACTTTATTTTAAGAATGTGAAATGTCAGAATAATAGTAGAGAGAATTATTTCTTTCAGCTTTATTTCTTTCATCACATTCCGAGAGGGTCAGAAGTTTACATACACTCAATTAGTATTTGGTAGCATTGCCTTTAAATTGTTTAACTTGGGTCAAACGTTTCAGGTAGCCTTCCACAAGCTTCCCACAATAAATTGGGTGAATTTTGGCCCATTCCTCCTGACAGAGCTGGTGTAACTGAGTCAGGTTTGTAGGCCTCCTTGCTCGCACAGCTTTTTCAGTTCTGCCCACAAATGTTCTATAGGATTGAGGTCAGGGCTTTGTGATGGCCACTCCAATACCTTGACTTTGTTGTCCTTAAGCCATTTTGCCACAACTTTGGAAGTATGCTTGGGGTCATATTCCATTTGGAAGACCCATTTGCGACCAAGCTTTAACTTCCTGACTGATGTCTTGAGATGTTGCTTCAATATATCCACATAATTTTCCTTCCTCATGATGCCATCTATTTTGTGAAGTGCACCAGTCCCTCCTGCAGCAAAGCACCCCCACAGCATGATGCTGCCACCCCCGTGCTTCACGGTTGGGATGGTGTACTTCGGCTTGCAAGCATTCCCCTTTTTCCTCCAAACATAACGATGGTCATTATGGCAAAACAGTTCTATTTGTGTTTCATCAGACCAGAGGACATTTCTCCAAAAAGTACGATCTTTGTCCACATGTGCAGTTGCAAACCGTAGTCCGGCTTTTTTATGGGGGTTTTGGAGTTGTGGCTTCTTCCTTGCTGAGCGGCCTTTCAGGTTATGTCGTTATAGGACTCGTTTTACTGTGGATATAGATACTTTTGTACTTGTTTCCTCCAGCATCTTCACAAGGTCCTTTGCTGTTGTTCTGGGATTGATTTGCACTTTTCGCACCAAAGTACGTTCATCTCTAGAAGACAGAACGCGTCTCCTTCCTCAGCGGTATGACGGCTGCGTGGTCTCATGGTGTTTATACTTGCGTAGTATTGTTTGTACAGATGAACATGGTACCTTCAGGCATTTGGAAATTGCTCGCAAGGATGAAACAGACTTGTGGAGGTCTACCATTTTTTGTCTGAGGTCTTGGCTGATTTCTTTTGATTTTCCCATGATGTCAAGCAAAGAGGCACTGAGTTTGAAGGTAGGCCTTGAAATACATCCACAG